TTCGGGGGGTAATTACCCCCCCCCCCCTACTCCCCTTGAGAACCGCTGGGAAGGATTCTTCCAGCTTTTGCACTCGCATTCGTAAACTCGCCATAACGTGCAATGAAAAGCAAAGGTGGAAATGATGCCGAGTCGATGGCCCGTATGCAAGGACCTATCACTTGATAGCCTATTACATGGTAGCTATCATAATAGGCATCAGGTGATAAGATCTATCACATTCTAGGTTCATATACAAGAACAATTAATAGGTTCCCATCGTGAGGGTCTATTTTAATTGGCATAAAATACCTATCATTTTAATTTTTTTTCCCGTGAGTGCTCCAGGTGACAACCGCCATCGGCTTACACACTGAGAAGCAACTCCATAGCCATCGGCTCGCATTACGACTGACCAGACTGTTGTGTGATGATTTCGTGGCTTTAATCTGACCGACCCCATTCACCAGACTAGTGCTTGAATTCCGATTGCCACGGCTTGATGCATGAAACTCTAAGGGATTTAATCGTTCCCAGAATAGCTGCTCTCGACAGTTCACATAATTCATCGGGTTAGCAAAATGCATTGCATCCGTCCTGGTAGCTCGTTATGAGTGGAATGAACAAGCTCTGGACCATAATAGATCGAAGCAATGTGTATACCTATCATGATAGGTATAAAACATGATAGTTTTTGCAATTGGTCAACCTATCAAACCCATCAAACTTGTTATATGATGCACCCCAAAATAGCTATTTAATCAGTTTTATACGTTCTTGCATACCGGTCAATGTCATGCACCGAAATACTGGAATTAAGATCAGTTTCAAGTAAAGGGAGCAAAAATAACTGGAAAAAAAAAGAATTTGTACGTGTAACTACTTACACTCGTTGATGAGTGTTTGCATTTATTCCTAATTACTTCTGGAACGCTTGAAATCGTAACCAATAACTTTTCACATGCAACCCGTCCAACACGGAAAGAACCGTATAAAACCGACTCGAGAGAGAGAGAAACTCAGATGAATTGGACTCACTCGGTAGCACAGAGGGTTTCCCAGGCGCGAGCACAGCGAATAGGCAGAGGAAGAAGAAGCAATGATGATGCGGGAAGAGACCCTTCCAATTCATCTTCGCACGTCAGTCTTCCTGCTTTGAAGCATCGTGGACGAGCCGAGCCCGAAACATCACAAGCAGAAAGAAAGGAGGACATTTATAATAGTCCCCCCCCCCCTCCTCTCTTTCTCTATGTATGCCACTTTTCTCAATGAGGACACATTTCCTTGCTTCAATGGGCCTCATCGCAGCTAGAGTGCTTGTTCAGCCTATTTATTTGATCGATTCTTCTTTTCTCCTCTGTTATTATGCATCCGCTCATTAAAATGCGGAAGATGATAGTTGTAGTTCCTTTCCATGGCTGTCGAGCGTCAAGCTTTAAGAAACTCGCCGGTCCCGAGAACGTGTCACTCGATGCCAGGAATACCGATTGCTGAGGTAAGGACCTACGGAATGGCATTTGGTACTCGTACGTACTTCAGTACTCTTGTCTCGAGCTGCTTTGAAATATGAGTACAAGTACTTGAAGTACCGCTTCATTCCTCATTTTTACGTCGAAAATCGGAATAGACCGAGACAAAGTAGATTTGTACCAACAGCGTGCTTGGATTTACTTTCCTCCCCCTACACTATTGTGGACAGTACTCGAGAGACACCTGCTGTTGGCGATCGTCACTAAGGGCGGAGGAGGGGGGGCACGGTGAAGCGCATGAAGCGACATCACTTCCTGAATGAGGGAACTGTTACTTCACGGACTCGACTATAGAGTCCCGAGACAAGTGTGAAGCACGTGTGAACGGGGAAAAATGCCAACGCTCAATATAAAGTACTCGAAGGGACAGGCTAAAAAAAAATTAGTTCAAGGAAATTTCCCTCATTTCACTGAAAAAAAGAGATGTTAAACTTTTGTCAAAATCACTTCGAAAGGTCACTTAGGATAATAAAAAAAAGCAAGTCGTTGTCCATTCATAAAATAAGCGCGACAGTCTAAGCGTATGCAAATTGCAAAAATCCAGCTCTAAAGAGTTTAGGTACGCATTTACCTAAATGGGTACCTAAATTATGAGTGATGAAAAGTCGGACGAGTCAGCAACGCTCTCTATTCATCGGAAACAAAGCCTCTAATGGTTACCTTTCCATGATGATTCTTTGAGCCGTGGTCTGCGGAGCACTCGATGTTCGAAAAGTTTCAGGCTCAACATTCGGCCACTGACGGGAAAATAGCCCGAAGAACTTCGTAATAAGGAACAGTCTCGTTCCTTCGGACGGAAAAAATGACTTCGTAAAACCGAACAATTCGTCATACAGAACTTATAGACACTTTTCAACGTGCATGTGAACGGGCAAACGGCCTGGAACTGGAAAAAAATTTCGCAGTAAAGAAAATTCGTTACATCGAGCGTCGACACCCGAAAAACGTTGCGACCAGCTTGGGACTTGTTGACGTCTGGTGTCCTGTGTCGCACGTGGTTGAGACGTGCATCGAATATGACCGCGATGCGGCGGATCACGCGCTCGTCGTGGGGCCAGCGTCAGCGGTAGAGGTTTCCTAGAAGTATAGGTTTTCCGAGTCGAATGCGACAGGTGCACGAGGTATATCAACCCTTGTTAGGGGGATGCCTTCTCGCATTTTCACAACGTGCGGCTTCATATGCATTTGCATGTAGTGCTCCGATTGTAACTAATATTACTTGGCAATTATCGATACGTCCTAGGAATATGCTACCAACCGTGCTGCTTCATTGCAGTGAAGTTACTGCCGCGATAAATGGCTTTGCATTAAAAAAAACTTCATTTTATTGAGATTTTTACACTGCTGGGGTCAATTTTACCCCACGATATCAGTTACACACTAAATAAATAAATAAATAAAAACTAACAAGGAGGCCAGTTGAGGGTTAAGGAGAGCCTCAAAATCTTCCTCGCAGTTTTTTCATATGTGAAATCTGCCTCTCACCCCGAATGATTAGTGGAAGCACATTCCTATGATTAATCCTAACGTATCGGTAATTGCTAAATAAGATTAATTGCAAAAGGAGCATCGTATATACATGCACCTGAAGTCGCTCGCTGTGAAAATGCAACGAGAAGGCATTCCCCTATCACACGTATGGTTTACCTTGTGTACCTGTCGCACTTCACTTTCCGTATGGAAAATGTTTTTCAAGTCCGACTTCCACCACAGCGATGCGTTTGACCGTCTTCATGTCGTTGTTGATGCTCTAAAGCTGCGCAGCGAAACATTTGACTTTCTTTTGTCCATATTGGACTTAGAAAACCTGTATTTGTTGGCAGTAGCGGGCCCAGAAGATCCAAATGGGGATTCACATGAAAAGTTGGTAACCAACCCTGCAAAAAAAATTTTTGAGAATCTAACCTGAAAAATGTGTCCCTAGTGGGGGGAGGGGGGGGGAGTGCGGGGGGTTATGACCAGCGCCTTACCGTGGATATTTGGCGCTCTGTGCGAGATATCAATCCAGCGCATCTCCTCACCCCCCCGCCCTCTGTACTTCTCCAGCTTCCCCGCACCAACAATACATTAGCTATTAATTTCTATATTCAATTTAGTTAAATTCCGGGTAATTTGCATTTTTTTAAAGTTTTATTCATATTTCGTAGGACTTGGTAGACATTCGGCGTCCAGTGCGGGCGCACCGCTTCCGCACCCCTTGTTATGACATTGGTTATGACCCCCCACCACCCGCTTGAGCACGCCACTGTTTGTTGTGGAACAGGGAGGGATGAGATGTCTGGGTCAGAGAGCGAGCCATGAAAACGCGTCGCGGATGGCGGATAGCGGATAGCATTATCCTCTTCGTCACCTGACCAGTGTCTCGACCATTCCGGTGCAATTAGGCCTAGGCCATGCCGGCTAGATTCGTGCTGTGCTCGTGTGAACCTGACCTACCATGTAGGTCTAATGTTTCTGTCAGGGTCCATGGACCGAATTTTCTACTTTCTAGCCCAACTAGTAGGTATTTGAGCTGTGCTTGCCTTAGTTATTGTCGAAGGTTGTCATTTTTATTCTTCTGTTTCTTCCACTGTGAGAACGAGCTGTGTTTAGCCCAACCATAGGCAAGGTGCCCGTGATAAGCTTACCCCATTGCCTTTGATCACAGCATTCTGAGTGGTGACTGTCAATAATGACCTGGGCCTGTGTCATGCCCAATTCCCCCCCTGTACTATCTGTTTCATACCCAAACATGGAGACCCATTTGGCTCCAAAACTGACTGCTGAGGATGAGAAATGGAAGAAGTACAGCAAGCTAGTGAAGGATTTATACATCAGCACGGATGGGAAGAAAACATTCCAGTTTGATGAAACTCTGCCACCTTTGCCAGTGCCAGATCTCGACTCCACTCTGGCAAAATACCTGGAGTCTGCTGCACCTCACATTTCTGATTCTGAATATGAAGAGCTGAAGAGGTTGATTGAAGACTTTCGAAAAGGCATTGGAAAGGAGTTGCAGAGAGCTTTGTTGAAAAGAGCTTCTCAACATTCTAATTGGGTAATAAGCCCAAACTCTAGCTATTAAACATGGAGGGTGTCTCACATAGATGTACCCCAGCCTAAGGGTAATTATCTGAGGCACATTCAAATTCTAATTCCTAATAATTCCTTATGTTTGCAATTAAGCTGTTTTACTTTCTACCTTCCAGAGTGTATATAACAGCAAGAAACTTAGCTTTATTGAATGAGTACAAGCAATTATATTTCTCAAAGATTGTGATGCTGGGGCAAGTTTCATTTCTCCCAATCAAAGATTGAAAAAAATAAAATGAAAGAAAAGTTTTGTAAAAGCGTGGGGACAAGAACTCCTGTTTGTGCTCCAATTGTTTCCATAAATTCTATTGACTTTTTAATGATTTAGCAATTTATGATTGAGACGTAAAACTTATATTCGCATTACAAGCTTCACGAAATGTAATTCTTGACATGTGATCAGCATAACTAACTTTTTCACTGGTATATGCCATCTGGAAATACAAAAGGATTATTGTTTGATTGCATATACCAAATACCAAATTTGGTTAAATACCAAAATAGTCCACATTTTTCTGAAGTTAGGTGTTCCACAACCTTTCTGAAGAATGGGTGGGTATATCTTCATGAAACACCCTGCAGTTTAAGTCCAATGTTGAGGCAATGAGTAGGCCTTAAAAGACCTATTCCTGGATTGACATGGCATTATTAATTTTTCCTGTGTGTGGTGCTGAATCTTGTATAAATATTCCAATTTCTTTCAGTTAGAACAATGGTGGGAGGAGGAAGTTTATTTGAAGATGCGATATCCTGTGATACCATTCAACACCATGCTTGGTGCTTTTGCTGTGATAGATCCAGATGAGGGTGGATATTCCATAGATCCTGAAGTAACTTTTCAGGTGAACTTCTGTCCTTCATTTGTGACTAGCGTATGAATGGGCTCATAGACTTGGGTTGACTATCCCTGAATGTCAGCTTCACCTTGTGCCAATTATATTGCAATGTTTACATTCTATGTATGAATAGATTCCAAAGGAATTCAGCCTGTTTCTTCATTTTATACTGGAATTCTGGAACCTACTACGAGAAGAGAAGCTCAAACCTCAGGCAAACCATCGAGATCAGAAATGGTCCATGCATCAGTTCCATCGACTCTTTTCCTGTTCACAGATACCCAACAAGTCTATGGATTCGTTTGCTCAATATTTCAAAACTAGTAAGTGAAGGGAAAAGATTCATTATGATGATTCCATTTTAATATGGAGTTATGGTTATAGCATACTGTTTCATGTTCTGTTCACAGAATGCCAAGGAGAAGCCCCACGACATGTCATGATATTTTGCAATGGTCACATTTTCTCATGTGTCCCTTTCAATGATAAAGATGATCCACTGACACCACCTGAATGGGAAGCATTGATCCTTAATGTTTGGGAGGCATCACTCAAACTTGGCATGGGTCATTGTGTAGCAGCTCTTTGTTGTCAAGATCGTAATAAGTGGGCAAAGGTGTGCTGCAAAATGTGCTTAAAGGCCAAATTAACTTTGCTATTAATTGAAGAATACAAGGCAGCTCTCAATTCTTTTTTTTTTTAATAGGATAGGGCACATCTGGCACATCTGAGTGAGAAGAACCGAGCCATCCTGACTGATATAGACAGTGCTATTTTCTCCTTGGTATTGGATGGATCCAAGCCACAAGATGCTGATGAAACTCTGTGGCATGCAGTTGGTGGAGACATATCTAACAAATGGGCTGATAAGAGTGTGACATTCATCCTTCATCGCAATGGACAGCGCAGCATGATAGCTAATGTAAGTACCATTAAGGGATGAGGAAAAATGTAGATGCTTGTACTTATTCAAGGTATTTTTGTGGTCACAGCACTCACCATTTGATGCCCTCACCACTGTTATGGCAACAGACTTTGCACACAAGTGTTCCAGACATCTAGAATTCAGGTGGAAAGGACCTTGGGCAATCAGGACTCATTTGATCCAGCCACAGAGGAGGGAATTAGACATTGATGCTCTGCTAGTCTCCTCCATTGCTGAAACTATTCAAGCCTCACAAAAATTGGTATGTCTCTTTGTTTAGGAATAAGCCCATTTTTGTGGTTTCTCATTGTGTCTGTAATTTTTATGACTTGAATTTGCCATTTGTTTGCAGGTAGCCATGATCAATATTTGCAGGTTCTGTTTCTCTCATTTTGGGAAATCCTACTTGAAAACAGTCAAATGTCATCCTGATGCCTTCATCCAAGTGGCCATTCAAGCTGGATATGTAAAACTTCATGGCAGGTTTGTTTAATAATAGTGATCTCTTCACTTATGAAGAACTATCATTGAATAGAGAAAGATGATGACATATGCAGAAGTGCAGAAGTTCCTCTCCTCTGTTCTCTCACCTCCTTCCTGCCTTCTCCTTCAACAGGTTCCATGTCTTGCCCATTTCACATGTTAGATCTGTCAACTAATTCCTAGTTAAGTTCACAGTTTAACCAATTATGATGGTGAGCTTCTGAGTGAGAAGCTGGTGAGCAAGTGAGTGTGAGTGTGTTTTAAGTGGGCTTTCTGTGAGACCTGATAGGTCCATGATGAGGAAGGAGTGCATCATATCAAGCTTGTCCTTGCCTCTTGGGTGAAGTAGATAGGCTTGTGATGATAAAAATGCAATTGGCCCTTTGGGTGCATGAGTGTGTGTCTGTGACAGGTTTATAGGTTCCTAATGAATAACAGGGGAAGTTCCTAATGAATAACTAAGGGGAGTTCCTAATGAATAACTAAGGGGGAGTTCCTAATGAATAACAGGAAAGTAATAATTTAATTATAGCAGTTTCTCTCCTTCAAAGCTCTGGAAGTCAAGTTCAGGAGTCAGTAATCATGATCTTAGTACTTGAGAGTAATCCCTGTGATTTTTGTGCTATCTTGGTTGCATGTAATATCAACACTTATAACAATACAATTGCTAACATTTGCTAGCAGACTATCAATTGAGAGATGGGTATAGATTTTGGCAGCTGGTGAAGGAAGGCCATGTATGAAGAAGGATTTCCTTATCTGAGACAATAGTCGTTGATGATCAAATTCATGCTGAAGCATGGGAGTCAGTAGAGAGGAGCCATTCTGCAGCAAACTCCTTGTAGAGATCCTTCCATAAATGAAGCTGGTCTCCAGGGACCACCTGATTCCTCTTGCTTGAACTCCATTTAAATACCTTGTACAACAGCTTCTTTTGAATTGAAGACAATAAATGCTTGTTTCATGTAATGCTAGGCCTGGAGCCACATATGAGACTGCAACAACCCGCACCTTCTATCATGGGAGAACTGAGACCTGTCGCACATGTACCAAAGAATCGGTGGACTTTGCTCGAGCTCTCTTGGATTCCAACAAGGTGATAATTCTCTACAGTCAAGCTATAAGCAATAAATAGAAGGAATGATGTGATGACTTAGTGCTTCCAAGCAGAAGGAAGGGGAGTTGCATTCCATGTTGATGAAAGCATTGGCTAAACACATGGCCCTGATGGAGGAGGCACAGAATGGTCAAGGCTGTGACAGACACCTCTTTGGGCTTTGTCGAATTGCAGAGGAGCTTGGTCTTTCCCAACATCCCATCTTCACTCACCCATCTTGGAAAAGGAGGTTTGTGTTGCATCACCATCTTGAAAGTGTACAGTAGCTGATTTCAGTCAAGCATAAAGCTGATTATAAAACTGTGTATGCCATACCTCTCTCTCATGAATGCTGGAAAGTTTGATATCTGTTCCGTCCCTTTTAACATACTTGCAAACAAATCTCAACACATTCCTTTCCAGGGATCTTCTCGTCATACGTGTAAACAGGTAAATGTAACATTCTGCATGTGTTTGCTTGGCTTGACTTGCATGTGACCGGCTCTATCTGCTTGAATGGTGATGAAATGCACCATTCAATAAAAAAAAAAGAAGCAAGCAATCAGGAAGTGGTGGCCAGGATGAATTCGTCTATCTTTCCTTCATTGTTCTATCAAGATGAGTAATTGTGTACTGATTCAATCAGAGATGAAGGGAGCTATCCAAAAGTGTGGAATGACCATGATCTTGCCGTGGAATAAAAAAATTAAAAAATAACCACAGGGATGGTCAGCTTTCTTTTTTTTTTTTTTTTTTTAGTGCCAAATTTGACCCTGTTCCCCAGTGGTGTATTTTACACAGCAGTGGGAGAGCTGGCACCCCCTTGAAGGTGGTAATTTTCCCCCCTGATATCACTTGGGTGGAGTTTGGCAGCCATGCTCTGTTGCCCTGCCCCCCTGACCTTTCAGCCAAAATATGCCTCTATTACTCATCATATTTTGAAGAAATTTGTCATCTCATCTATATGCTATTGCATTTCAAGGGATTGCCCTTCTGCTTCAATGTTAACCACCTTTAATTCCTACACAAGTTGTTGAAGCTTTTTTATGATGGGGTTTTGGGGAGTTTGGAGGTACTCCATAAAGGAGCTGGTGTTATTGCTTATGCTTTTTTTTTGTTGCCCTGTAGTGGTGGGGATGGGAATTTTATTCTCTCGACCAGCCTCACAGGATATACTGAAAATTCTGGCTGCATGGTAGCAATGTGTGAAGATGGCTATGGAGTCTTCTATAACATCCTCCCATCCAGGTTTCTTTGCCTTCTCTTTTTTCCATTGCATTGTGTTCACTATTTTTTTTAGAGACTCATCGCCTTCCTTCCACAGCATCTACTTTGGAATGACCTCATGGAAGCAGTGTCCATATACAGACATCAAGCGGCTGTATGGAAGCATAGAGGGAGCTCTAGTACGGATGCAGCAGATTGTGTCCAGTCGGGGCCATCTTTGATATGTCGTTGGCTTCATCTTGCCATGTTCTCCAGTTTGAGACAAGCCTTGTGGGTTTCATTGACATATCTGTAATGCTTTAGCTCTTGTATTTCTCACTTCATGTTCAGAGATTTGGCAAGGTTACTATTGGAAAGTGGAAATGCTGGGTTCCACACACCTCATTATTTTGGCTATATGGCATAATAAGGCTAAGTGAACAATTCCAGCCAAACAATCATGACTCATTGTGTCTACTCCTCCCCATTCCTGTGTTTTTTGAAAAACTTCCAGCTCCTTGTAATTTCTTTTGCAAGTTTAGTTCCCTCTTTTTATGTGATAGTTTGGTCCTCCCATTTTGCTATGATGGGAAGTTGCATATCATGGGAAAGTTGGATAGGGGGACCTTGCCATCAATATGTAATTGTCATTATTTTGATTTGGAGTAATGAGCAAAGAGACTATCCCAGCTCAAACAGTTCCAAAGAGTGGTGAGGTTTGTTTGAGTGGAAGAAAGTGACTTAACGTTGATAAGGTCCATGAGACTCCTGTATTATAAAATCTTTGTTTAGAGGGAATACTTGTATAATGTGTATAAATGAGGAACATTATAATTAGCGTTTTTGATAAAACTAGCCACTCAAACCTACAACCAACCAGTTGGCACATAAAACTCTGAAGATTTGTTGCAGAAATTTGTCTCATTTGATTGATGGACCTAGGGCTATCTTTTGACAGTAGCAGGCATTTACTGTTTTTTTTTTCTGAGTCCCCATGATGCAGCTTCTCAAGAAATGGATCTTTTGCCATGAAGAATTTTGTAAGAGTCCATGACAGCACATCGGTGGCATCCCTGACCTCTGTGCTTGAAGCCTTTGCAATACTGCAATAGGGTTGCATTCACATATTCCTTCTTACCAGGTAGACCAGCCTTAGATAAGGGAGAATCCACTCCTCTGCTCCCTGTAGCCTAATTGAAAACTGATTTTATTTTTTATGACTTGATTACTTTTTCGTAATTTTATAAGTTTTTTATTATCTGAAATCAGATTGTCTTTTATTTTTTCTATATGCTTAGCAGGGATATGTTGAGCTTTTCTTTAGCCCTATTTGGCTTCTAGATTGAGGTTTGACACTGACCTCATACAGACAGATGGTTGCCCCTAAATTTTGGTATCTGATGCAGTCACAGTTTCTGTGTGCAAGGCTAGAAATTTGCCTTTGTCTATATTTGTATTGTGGTCTTGGCCACCTAAAAGTGAAAATTTACGAGCTGCTATTCATGCTATATGGGTGAAGTAGAAATTAGACAGCAGATATATAGTGATATAGTTGTCAGTAATTGTTAAGGAATATACATATGCTCTTGTGCCATTTATCCATTCACTTGAGCTTGAAAAAAAAAAGGAAGAGTACCATTTGTGACCAAAGGGCTGTGTTAAATTTTCTTCTCATTTTTCCATCTGTGGCAACCCATGTCAGTATTTTTTAAGCTTTAACATTTTCTGCTCACTCCTCTCCATAGGCCTGATCTCTCTGTACACTTTTTTTTTCCAGTTATATGTAAATTGACTGTGACAGTATCATGGACATGAGATTTTGAGTGAATGAATCAAGGACAATTCCATGGTTACTGACCTCATGGGATTGTATTGGTGCTGGACTTTTGCTCACACCATCTTGTCTCATCTGAACAATACCTCAGCTTCATTCCATATTGTGAGCATGTTTTTTTTGGCACATTTTAGCTTCTTGGAGGTTTCTATCAATGCTAGGATGGTGATTATTTATTTCGTGTGACGCCATAATATTGCTCCAAGAATAAACTATTGATTGTATGATTGAGTGATTCTGGGCCTCCATTATCAGCTCTTTAAGTCGATGACCCCCCAAGTGGTTGGGTGGGGGCTTCCCACTAGTACAAGAACTTGATGGACAAAATCCATCAGAGTGGCAATATACCCAGAGAACACATTTGGCTCACTGGGCATAATTCGATTTGATTTCGTGATGGGGTTATCTGACAGTAAATATCGAAAGGAATTTAACCCTTTCGCACTCAGCCTATTTTCCAAGTACCTGGCGTAAAACACTCTCTGGTCCGGAACTACATCACTTTATGTAAAACAATGCATACGTACCTTTTGCAGTTAGCACCTGTGTTTAGGGAAGCATTTTGAGCCATTTATGTAACTAAAAGAGCATGATTTAGACGGAGCCGATGGATCGGCGCGCTGAGCGTATAAGGGTTAACATGATGCGTTGTCCCTTCTGGGAGCATTGGTCATTGTGTCTTTCCCCTAAGTTTTGCTGTTATTCAAGGAAGACCTAAGTTGAGCTCTTTAGGTGGCGCGTTCTCAGCCCTTAACCGTTACATTCTTGCCAAATTTTCCTCTTTTGAATGACACAGCCAGAAGTTGGGGGACATTTATTTGAACGTGGGAAGCTGAAAAGCTACACGAAATCCCTTTCTCTTCAGAAGGAAAAAACTCCAAAATCATATAGGGTAAACACCCCAGTTTTTGCCCACTTAAGCCCCAGTTTTTTTGCCACGCTGATACGACTCCCATAGGAAGTGCCCACATTGGGAAACACTAGTAATAGGTCTTCGTACGGGAAGATGATAGAATACTTGAAAACGGCCAGGTTAACTACGTGTAATTTTGCTGGATTTAAGCCTCACTGGCCAGCAACTGGAGACCGGCCAGAAACCGGGGTGCTTACCCTATGAGCTATTTGTAGCAAAACTTCTTATTTGAGACTTTGCTATCGGTTCATTCCTGTTTTCGCCCCTCCATTTCTAAATCCTATAACTAGGAAATATAGTCCAACCGAGTCATGTCATGACGTGAAAAGTAGTGTCAATGAGTAAAGGAATACTTTTTTTTCCCCAGGGAAGCGAGCATGTAGTGATCGTCACTTCAGCTCAGTGGCAGGGTTTAGACAATTTAAGAACATGTTTTTAATTTTTTTAATTCCTGATGTGGAAAGGTATTGTCAATGATGAAGTCGTTTGACTCAGCCTGCGGATTATCTCTTATTCCCTTTCAGGTTTCTGAAGAAGCCAGAAAAAATCGCGTGACATTCCTCCCAAGTCTTTTTTATATTAACCTCCCGTGATTTGCCCGAACTAAAACCCGGAAGGGATTAAATGTTAATGCATACACGTTCACACCCGTTGCGCACGCCTATGGAAATGTAGAAATAATACTTAAAGCATAGCAAGGTTATGTTACAAGTTAATGTATTCTGTTATTGAAATTTTAATGGAAATAAATTTAAAAATGGAATAAATCAACATTTTTAAACTGAATTTTTTGAGGGGAAATAGACATGGAAAGGGTTAACCTCTTTTCACGTTACTACGTGCATCTTTCCTAATTTCTTATTTCCATCATTTATTTAGGAAGGAGAATATGATTGATTCTTACACTGCTACCGAAGTCCAGGGTGATTATAAAGTATCCCGTTCTTATCATTGCTATTGCGCCTAAACCATAAGGTTTGGGATGATACCATCGCTCACATGTGACAAGTGATTCATGGAGAATGAATTCCAGCGCTTATAAAACCTTTGCCGCTGGGGGTGCAATCATTCCATGCATGCAGCGCCGAAAAAATTTTGCCTCGGGGCGACCTCATCATAGCATAATTTGCATCGAAGGCATGCCATTTGCGTAGGAAAGCCTCGGTACCAGCAGCGTATTTCTGCGATTTTCCTTGTCTTTTTTTTTGTAATATGCACATTTTCCAATGTTGCCTCCCCAGTGGCGAGAATTAAGTGCTGGAATTGATTTCGCCACTTTCTTCCCCTACGATGACACCATCCTGCACCTTGAATGGAGGCACAATATCGCTCTGAAGTGGAATCCTTACTTCATCATTATCACCCTGTGCTCCTCTCAAAGTAAAAATCCGCCGGAAAACAGTAAGGTCCCAATGCGTTAGAAACGCCTAATAACCACGATTTCAACCCTTTTGCTGTTTCATCGAAAATATCGCTGATGGATTCCTCCCATTTAGGATTCGCATAGAAGGTACGTGCAAAAATTTTTTTTACTGAAAAGGAAGAACAAGGGAATCAAGTCGAGTTGAAAGAAAAAAAACAGTCGAGGTCAAATGGCCTTCTTTCCTTTTCCTCATTCATAATGCTAGGATTGAGGTTGACTATAGAGAGGTTAATCTAATTCGCGTCGTGGAAGTATTAATGCAATTGGCCGGAGGTGAAGCGACGAAGTGCGTGTGGTCTCGAATCTCGACGTACGGGTTCTGGCTGTTCATCGCCACCAGGCGTGGGTATTTATGATTGACGTACGAGGCGGGGCAGCTACAGGGTGGTCACGAAGTGGGGGATCAGTCTAGAGGTTGCCTGACGACCGCATTCTACATGATTTACAGATTGAGTGACTCAAGCCCATGCAGTATCGAAGACTTTGTGGCCTTCGTGTGAATGCACGACCCAGGTTGTAATTGTATGTAATTGTAATTGTATGTAATTGTAATTGTATGTAATTGTAATTGTATGTAATTGTAATTGTATGTAATTGTAATTGTATGTAATTGTAAGTAATTGTAATTGTATGTAATTGTAATTGTATGTAATTGTAATTGTATGTAATTGTAATTGTATGTAATTGTAATTGTATGTAATTGTAATTGTATGTAATTGTAATTGTATGTAGAGTATTTCTTCCGGCGATCGCATTTACCCCCACCTCCCTCTACTAGGAGAGAACCAATCCGATTCCTTCAGAAACGGTTCTCTATTAGTTTCCCTGTGAACAGTCTAAAAGTGAATGAAACATGCAAACTGAAGAAAATATTTTAAATTAAGAATGATCAGTCCGGTTATGCCCTTGCTTAGCACTAATGAAACAAAAAAATACTAATTTTTAACGCCATGGAATTAATCCAGTCATAATGCCAAAAAAATTATTTTGCAATTCTGACCACTAAGAAAAAGTTGAAATAAGTGCGCCCAAGTACTGGATTTAAAATATGGCACTCAAATACTTTGCAAAACAAATCTCAGTTGAAGCAGCAGTAATTAGACGACTTGCTAAGCAGACTTGGCAATACAAATTACCCCATAATCCATATGTTGTTGATGGCACATTGCTCTTGTCTTCAATCACGCAATTTCGCCTTCTGATTCTGAGGACGCAGCGCGATGGGAAAAGAACCGTTGAGATCGCACGTAATTTTGGCCATTCCTGGAAATTTGTGGATTTTGACACGAGTTTCATGGATTTCTTTCATAAGTCTTGCCTCTCACCCGACGAAGCAGCGACTTAATTCG